TATACATACATATATATTCACATTATATATTCATAATGATAAAGATCAGTTGATGTTTTTTTTAGCATAGACCAGAAAAAGAGTCGTGTTCTCAAAATGAAACGTTCGGCAACCGATATGTGTCTGTATTTACCTATAATAATAATATTTGTTGATTCATTGGTCCCTTGCTCAATCATCTACTGCTCTCTTTGTGTTTCAGCTGGATCGCAAAACGCACCGTCTATCGGATAAGACGTTAAGTCGTTGGTCCCGTGTGCAATATGTGAGTTCTTCAGAAAAGATTAGGGATTGTCTCTCGGTGTACTACCAAATCACGACCAGGAGGACCCCCAGTCGTTTCAAACTTTAGTGGGCTTTTCTTCCTTTTTGTCTTTCAAAACGACGAAATCAATATACTTTTCCCGGGGCCCAGCATACAATATGACATTGCCGGTATTATTATAAAATAAAAATCGAAAGGCATAGGCCTACCTAAGAAACGAAAAATATGATCAAATAAAAATAGCAAACAATAAACAAATATATAATAAATATACATGTATTTGTATGTGTGTGTGAAAACTACAGCATACAGTGTCAAATCAGTGAGGTAATTAAGTACGGTAATTGTAAAGCTGTCGATGATGATTATGATGATGATGATGATTATTATTATATTGTTTGCATCTCCAAGTTCTAGTGGAAACGCCTTACATCTTTTCACATATAAAACATTTTACTAGTAATCTTCATGGTATATTTGTCACCTGACGTCAGTTATGACGTCAAAAGAAAACCTTATACGGCTTCAAAGTTGATGAGTTTACAAATTCCTCACTTGATATAAGAATGATATCTCCCGCTTACACTTTATGCTGGATTGCACAAAGTGTTACTTTTGATAATGTAACAATATTCGATTTAGATTTTCATCATCTAAAGTCGTTGTCTGTGTCGCATATGTTGTTCATCTCCTGGTATCATCCAATGACAGATAATGAGACGCGTTTGATGGAATGCAGTATTCGTATATACCTTCACGTCAGTCCTCGTGATTACTTCTTCAACACTGATGCTTCAATCATCTCCACAACGTACGGTGATTTTTCTGTGTGAATTAAAACACTAGTTTAAAATTTCTTTATAGGCCACCAGATTTAAGTTATGCTATTTAACAAACAGTTATCCTTGCCAATTAGAACTAGCAGACGTCGCAGTAAAGGCCTTTACATAGATCTTTCGGCTGAATCGACTATAAATTAATTTAAGGATTTTCGAAACATAAAATTTAAGTAAACTTTCAAGTACTTACTGCATCCATAGTCACAGTTTTCTTTGCAGAAAAGGAGTTGCAGAAATTTGTCATTTTCGCAGTGTTCTTCTGTGTTGATTTCGGCACAGTAGTCATAGTTTTCGTATAGTTGAATATTTTCACAAACATCTACATTGAGAAAAACACTGAATATACTGTAGGACTCTACTATATGATTATAATCAAAGATCTTATAAACAGAAGATAGCGTTCTCCGCGATATCCGCGTGCAAATTCTGTAAACGCAGTGTACAGTGCCCTCTTGCAAAAATGAAAACTTTTGAACTTTGACTGTTTTGACCATGGCGTACACCGCGCGAATTTACCTTTGCGCGTAACAATTAGAAGCGTCGATTTACAATTAGGCTATGTTCTCACACGGCAGCTAACTGAAAATTGTAAACGCGTACGTGTGATTGGTTCATGATAGAAACGCCCTCAACTTGCTAACCGATAGCGCTTGCTAACCGTTAGCGGTATCCGGATACTGCTAACGGTTAGCGCTAACGGATTGGGCGTTCTCACGCAGGTGCTAACGGTTAGCGCTAACGGTTAGCCCTCGATCCGGATACTAGGGCTCTCGTGAGAACCAGGCTTTATGGAACAATAACCTACTTGGTAACGAACTTTGGCGTAACGCGAACACAAGAGCCTGGTTCTCACGAGAGCCCTTGTATCCAGATCGGGAGATAACCGTTAGCACCTGCGTGAGAACGCCCAAATCGGTTAGCGCTAACCGTTAGCGGTATCCGGATACGCTAACGGTTAGCAAGCGCTATCGGTTAGCAAGTTGAGGACGTTTCTATCATCAACCAATCACACGTACGCGTTTACAATTTCCAGTTTCTTACTAATTGGCCAGTGATTCGATCATCATATTGTTGGTATCCGGATCGGGATTTTCTCGCATGGACGCACGGCAGCTAACGGTTAGCAGGATCCGGATCCTGCTAACCGTCATCTACCGTGTGAGAACATAGCCCTTATCTCAGATCTATGGAAACAACTAGGACGTTTCTATTTGTTACGCGTAAATCGCGGAGAACGCTATCTTGTGTTTATAAGATCTTTGATTATAATGATAATGATGATGAGAATTACAAAGAAAAAGAAACTAGAAGAGAACAAAGAAAGATATGTTTGACGTTTAGCAAACAAATATTTCGATTCACATAACATCAGTCGATTTACCTTGGCAATCTGTACCAGTGCCATAAGTGCATTCACACGTGCAACTTGTTTTGTCGAGAACGCCAGAACCAATTCCCTTGTGAACGCATGTCTTCGGACAAACTGTCAAAAAGACGTTTTCATTAGGATAAGAAGATCGACACATTGAACTATCCAAGTTTATTTTCGGTATCAGAATTGGTCCAAAGTGAAATATTTTGGAGCTCATGGTGGTAACGTTACTTAGTGTAAGATGCAACTTAAGTCCCGCTAGCTTAGCTTAAGATCTATATTAAGGTAAATGAATGTTACTAATTTCGAGATAGGTGTTGTAATTAGGTGAGTCAGAGGCTTTTTTGATTAATTCTTGGCAAAGTATTGGAATGATTCATGTTGTTAGCGGAACATCAATGTGTTTACAATCAAACGATTCTTTAAATTAATTCACTCACTACTTCCAGCCACTGTGGTTTTCATGTAACATAGTGAGTATGGATTAGTCGGTGGAAATCAGAACTCAATACAGGCCAGTTTGGAATCGGGTTGGAAAGGAAAGTAATGGCTGTGTAATTTTACTTACAACACGTGCTGTCCTTGCTCTGTTCACAGGAAGAAACTGCGAAAAGGGTTAAAGAAATTGTTACATGGATAAAATCAAAATTCGTTGGTAATCGAATGAGGGATTAATTGCGACTCATGTTGTTAGAATGAGTATGGCATTTTTGATGTAGATGTGTAGTAGTAAATTTAGCTCCATGCTTGGGCCTAACGTCCTATAAATTACTAAGTTGATTTGACTTAATTTAGTAGGCTATAAAACAACATAGGCCTAATTTTAACATAGGCCTAATAGTCCCCACCCCTCAGCCATGTTGAGGGTTCATATTTTTCCCAAATTCAATGCGTGTCTAAAATTATACTGCAAAACGACAGTGCTCCATTGTACCACTGTTTTCGCTATTGGAACAATACAAAAAAAAAATACAATTCAATATTGGCCCTTAACTTTCCCGATTTCAATGATAAATTAAGTAACAATAATTGTGGCGTTTCTGTATAGAAGGATAGCCGGTAAATGTCGTTTAATACCCCTTTTTCAAAAGTCGTTCTTACAAACTTTAAACCCCAAATAAATTAATAAATATAATAAAATTTATGCCTTAAAGACAATAAGTGTATAGCTCTGGCGTGTACGTACCACATAGACCTGCCTCGCAAAAAGGTGCTGAGTCCGGGCACCTGGAGCATTCGGTACCAATTCTAAAAGGCTCTTCTAACACCTTCGCTCTGTATAAAGTAAACCAAATAAAATAATAAAATAGGCCTTAATAAAATGTCGATTCATCTATGTTAAAATTTTAAATTCGTTTTTTTTTCATACATCAGACTTATTCATTATAGGCATATTATTAGGACATAAGGCCTATATATTTGTTTATGTACAAGAAGTAGGCCTATGTGATTTTAATTCCAGAATAAAATGAAATGAAATCAAATCATTATTATAAATATTTATAATCATTTCCATAGGTATTGTAGGTCTATCATAAGTTCTGATAATCAGTATTTTATTCTCATCAAATAGTCAATTATCGTAGATCCTTATTAGGCTAATTTATAGTTTTTTTTGTATTTCAATATAGTTTAATATATTGTAGTCATTTTACATTTTTTTAAATTTTGTTATTCGGTAATTGAAAGACTGTATAAAGTACTAACTATCATAAAGAATGAACACTGCGTCTAATACTCACTCGATATTGAAAACACAACTTAGATAATGAACGTTGGCATCGTAATGACATTTGGAATTGATGCTGCAGCCGACCTGATCCGCATCAGCCCAAGTCAACTGAAAAAAAACAACAAATTATGACGCCTTTGCGAATTTATCCAAACACAAGACATGAGATAAGAAAAATAACATTACTTATTATTATTTAGCATGTTAAGTATAAGTAAATAACTTTTATTGCTTCTCTTTTATAACAGAGGCACAACAGTAAAAACTTAATTACTGTGATTAAATATAGCAAGAAAATACTGCAATAGAACAAAATATATATAAAAATGGGTTTACAAAAAAACCACCTTTAGAAAAATAGTAATAGAAATAATAATACATACTAATACTAATAATATAAGTAAATAGGTTATTATGTAAGTAAATATGTTATTAATTAATTTATCAAGATTACAAATTAAATTTCATCTTCGTTAATCCTTTCAGAAATGTATAAGAATCAGCAGTGTGTATATCAAGTATGCGATGATAGCTAAATGCACAAGTTGGCAGCTAAGCTGTGTTCACACATCAACTTGTATGTGACTACACCGATATAAACAGCTTTGAGCGCCCCGATATTAACAATCATTTTTTCTTTACCATGGTGACAATAATTACGTTTGATTTGGAGCTAAGTACTAATGACTTTTCGTATCGGTTACATAAGTTCGTCTAATTTTTAAATTATTGCCCAACCAGATCTAAAGTACATGACATTTAGAAGACTTAAAGCAGTTTTTGTCACATCATTTATGAAATTAATCAGATTATACTAAAGAATCCCTTGATCTGAGACATTACAGTTTTTTTGCAAAATTGGAAATCATCATCAACATATTTTCAGTACCGGTAATTGGTTTTTGCGTCATTGGCTGCGTCATCAGTCAAAATTTGGAAACCAATGGGACCAGGTACGATACCCCGAGGGATAAAGTCCTTCTAGGAATATATCCAGACGATGGTTTGTTTTAGGCCCTAACTAACATAATGTGAAAGAAGTCGCAAATCCAGGGGGAAAATTTGTTTCTGATTCTTACCCCAACACAAATTAATGGTTTCTTGATCAGAAGGGAGTGATCAGTCCGATCAAAGGCCTTACAAAGGTCAATAGAAATCATAGTTCCCACATTGCAAATTACTTGAGCGCATTAATTCAAAGAGAGGATTAATCCAATGCTATTTGGAAATTTTAAACTCATTTGACATTACCAAACAGTCTTAAGTCAATTATTATTATTTTATTCAAAAAAGGTCGTTAGCAGTCTTTCAAATTAATGTCATGTTATAAGCCGCATGCATCCATTTCAAAGAGCTGTTCGTTTTGTCATTTTCCACCTGCAAAGGTAGATACGCATATTACGGTATTGTTTTTATTTATTGATTTTCCATAAATATTCGTTCAACTTTTATATGTATTTTTAAATTAAACATGTCCAAGTGTATAAGCAAGATACCTGATGTATAAGAAAGATACTCTATGTATACCGAAAATTAAATGTACTGGGGTTAACACACTTTTGGAGTTTTTTAAAATCTATATAATCTGTGACGTCATTGACAGGTTCCACTACAAAAAATGTTTCCTAATGTTAGCCTCGCGTGACTTTCAATTAAGGGAATTTATCAGATTAAGTGCATGTCATCACATAGTAATATGTGACACAGTACAGAGTATCTAAATAAATGGTTAGTTGCCAAGTAGAACGATTTGATTACGCCATGGCGTTATTAAACAGAGGACGGGAGAAATAAGCCCCCCTAATATCCGTTTCAACACTATGATGTCAATGACCTTTACTCACTTAAACTGATTACATTGTATGGCCAATAATCTGATTACATTCTGTTTTTTTTTTCTTCTTCTTCTTCTTCTTTCTTTCCTTAAGACAAACCATCAATTTATTTTTTTTCTGGTTGAAGTTTGTTTCGGGTTCTGTTTGATATCACTAAGGTCTACTCTGGCTATTGCCCTGACGATTTCAAAATAGCGTTATAAGCTCACAGCAACAAAATGATATCCTCTTAATTGCTTGCAAGCTTTATAAAGATTGATTTCATATCGGTGTCTAAAATTTGCTCTGAGCGTTACGCTCCAAAAATTGACTAAAAATAACACCAATTAAGATAACTTTAATGTCAGTAGTATTTCGGGTTTGATCGTGGATTCAAAACCCATTCGGTGGATTTTTAGTCTGCCCGTGGCTTAAAACATATCCGGTAGTCTGGACACCGAACCACACGATAGCACCCCTAGGGATACATGGTACAATAAGCCATATTTCTAAGACCTGGATGTAATGTGCGTAGGCTATACCACAGGTGTCATGGCTAACTTAAATAACCAAATTACATAACCACAGTTGTCAATTGGCGGCGCCCTATAGGTAATGGGGCGGGAGGATGTGTTACATACACAGTCATTGCACATTCATTTTATATTTCTGTTTTCGCTTTCTTGGTCTCATTACGTTTTGGGTCTGTAAATTTTAGTTTAGGAATAGGGGTTGTCTTTATGGTACTTATTTATAGGAGAATCTTGTCGCACGCAATCATTTGCGAAGATGATCAAGCACAACAGACGGTAGATGTGAGACGGACATTGCCCCTTATGATAATAACAGCGTCAGTCTGTCCCCCAATATCCGAGGTTAGGTCTATTGTTGACCTCATTTGGCCTAAGGTTTATTTAAGGTGATGACTTAATGAATCACATTAAAAATGAAGTCTATATTGATCAGGATTAAACAAGTTAAGGGGTGGCTCTCGATGATATCCAATGGGGGGGATAACACGCCGGAGGAAATCATAGGAGATAGGAGCATAGACATTTAATGATACATCACAGAGTTACGAAAGTGAATTGGGTCAATATGGAACAGAAAAGTGAAATGAATATTCAGTCAAGAACCCGGGATGCGATGACTTTGTTGACCGCTGGTACACCATAAAATATGACCGATAGTTTGCAGTGGCGGATGGAGAGAAAAAAAAGGAAGATATTAATCAAATTTAAGTATGAGAGTTATTAAAATAACAGTGCAGTACTTAAATGCGATAAAAATGAGGGGGAAAAAAGAATTGTGGGTAAAAGAATTTAGATATAACCTGAAGATAGCGACTGCAGTTTAATCCTTTATTACACCGTCGAGTAAAGAAATTGAAGTTGTCACCCTCGCTGAAGACCTCGCTAAACATCTCGTCCATAGTGGTGGCAACCGTATTTTTAATAGATAACACGCCTCTGGTTGCAGCAGCATCAACCCATTCCCACACCTCAAACAAGGATGTCGAACTGCTGGTCAATTCCATAAAGGAAGCTTCACTTTCGTCATTGTTCAATAACTGCTCACACGATGTCAACAGTTTAGCTTCTTCTTCCAGAATACTGTCCCATTTCTTTAAAAAAAAAAAAGAGAGGAGAGAGAGAGAGAAAGAGAACAACGGTCAGTTTTTCGATCTTTGCCGATGCAGTTTTCAATGCCTTATATTAGATACCGTTACCACAAATACACCTTAAAGTATATGTTCTAATTTTTGCTGTTATGTTATAATCTAACTACAATAGTTTTTGATAGATACAATATTTAACCTATATAGAACATTAATTCCGCACTTTATATTCCCTTTAACTTCTAGCGAAATGCACAAATTTAAAACATTATGTTACAATGGCGGTCACATTGAGAGCTGTTAAGTTTATTTTTTATTAAATAATAACAACCGAGGGGACATTGGGTGGGTACGATAAACTGCTTCGTTTTTAATTGGTTTTATGCTTTAATTGAGAGTTAGGCCTACTCTATTAAACTTTATTTAAATAATATACATAATAAAAACATAAAGATAAAACACTAGGTTTAAGTATTGGACAATAAATCAATAGTATAGCTGTTCCCCTTTCGACACTGTGTGTCAAAACATAGGCTTTTAATATACACTCACTTAGGTGTAGCCCCCAGACAGTGTGTTAGTTCCTTGGGGTAAACGATAACATGAACTTCCTCATAAACATGTCATTTTGCATTTGCTAATTCGACTTCCACATCTTAATCAGTCGCTTGGTAGTAAAGAGTTTTTTTTTTTTAAGCATAACCATTTTTTTTAAGCATACACATAATGGTTCACTTGGATTTCGAACAATCTTTTAGTTTATTTAATTATTATTTTAGGCCTACTTATTTACTCGCCTTTCGTTCTTTCGTAAATAGTGTATTGTAAAAGATTCTCCCAGGGGAGTTGCGTATAAGTCTTTCCCCTTATAAAAATATCGCAGTGTAAACAAATAGTCCTTTCTGTGTTCATACTATGTCCACCCAGAAAACACATGTGTAACTATGATGTGTTCAATCTGTTTACACGTCATATAAACCTCGATTGATTGATTGATTGATTGATTGATTGATTGATTGATTGATTGATTGATTGATTGATTGGATTATTCCGATGCTCAGCATTCACAAACCATATAAAAATTATTTGAGAATAAGAAAAATTAAAAATGAATGAGCATCAATAACGCCCATTAGACCGGAATCCAGCCCATTTCCAATGGGGTCAACAATCTAGCATATCCCAGGCCTATATCATATTATATTATTGAACAATATTAACCAATATAACAATATTAAAATATATATAGGCATATATATAGGCCTATTTATATATATATATATATGTGTGTTATATATATATATCTATATATAAATATATCACATAAGTTGAAGATGCCTGTTAGCTTTTTATGAGATACCTATTTGAACCAAAGCTTGCAGTGAATCAGCAAAAACATGCCTATAATTGTCTTCGGTAAAATCCCTTTTGGAATCGTTGCTGCAATATTTGAAGACGCTGTCCCTTGATGCTCGACTCATAAATACATGTTAATATATTGCCACTAAAAATCTTTTTTTTTTGTCTTCATAAAATGACTAAATTTCACTTTCGTTTCCAAACATTTGTATCCTTCAACAATAGGTCCAAAGCTTTTCCTTTGTACGAGAATACGTAATTCGGAAGCCTGGTCACGTTTGCTATTTGAAATGTTTTATGGCTTCAAATGACAATCACATCTCACCTGTCTGTCAGCTCACTGGTGTAAATTTGTTTCGGAAATCAGAACAACATTTCAAATGTTAGGAAAACAATTCACTAGTGGAATTACCGGAACGACCTAAGGGGAATTGATGTATTTTGATGTTCGCGCGTGTATTGGTAATGAAAGATTGCAAGAGACACAACTTTATGCACGGAATAATCGAATGCCACAATCTGTTAACTGTGTTTTAAATAAATGTATTAATTCTCTACCCGTTACTAACATATCATTTAGGCGTAGAACAATGTCGGCGATTTTGTTATTTTGTTGTCACAAGTCACGATGCTTTGTAAAGAGTAGCATTATTCGGCGCAGTGAATCAGCAAAAACATGTCTATAATTGTCTTCGGTAAAATCCCTTTTGGAATCGTTGCTGCAATATTTGAAGACGCTGTCCCTTGATGCTCGACTCATAAATACATGTTAATATATTGCCACTAAAAATCTTTTTTTTTTTTGTCTTCATAAAATGACTAAATTTCACTTTCGTTTCCAAACATTTGTATCCTTCAACAATAGGTCCAAAGCTTTTCCTTTGTACGAGAATACGTAATTCGGAAGCCTGGTCACGTTTGCTATTTGAAATGTTTTATGGCTTCAAATGACAATCACATCTCACCTGTCTGTCAGCTCACTGGTGTAAATTTGTTTCGGAAATCAGAACAACATTTCAAATGTTAGGAAAAACAATTCACTAGTGAAATTACCGGAACGACCTAAGGGGAATTGATGTATTTTGATGTTCGCGCGTGTATTGGTAATGAAAGATTGCAAGAGACACAACTTTATGCACGGAATAATCGAAAGCCACAATCTGTTAACTGTGTTTTAAATAAATGTATTAATTCTCTACCCGTTACTAACATATCATTTAGGCGTAGAACAATGTTGGCGATTTTGTTATTTTGTTGTCACAAGTCACGATGCTTTGTAAAGAGTAGCATTATTCGGCCAGAAAGAGTTGGTACCCGTAAATCAATTAAATTAAATTCAGGACTGGATTGAAATCATGTTTCTCAAGATAATCAGAAAATAGCAACGTTATTCTTATGCTGCTTTTTCAGGAGGGAGGGGCTAGCTATGTTTTGATTTTGTTGAAAATAATTAGAAATAAAATACATAAAACATTATGTTAAAACCTGCCAATGTGTATTTTTCTCTATTAAATCTGAATTTAAACATCATTTGACGAATACTTGAGGAGCTATGGATTGATATTATAATATCCCAGGATGCACTTTGTTAGTGCTTGTACAACTTTGGATAATTGCAATAATGAAAGTTAATACTTCCTAAGCACGGCCGTCCAACCCGAGCAGTCCCGCAAGGATTACGCTTGGCACATCCGGCGGCCGTGTACCAAACAACCATCTTTCAATACAGAGTATAAATTGCATGTCACTAGTAATCTTACAGCCTAAATAACTCATCCGAGAGTGCCTATGCATGCTGTGAAAAAGAAGATGTAAAGTTATTAACTTGTCTCTTGGGAACGTTCCTACGTGAACTAAGTGAAAGCATTCTGGGATTTGTGATTCGAATATCCACACGAAATCTTATTACAACTAGGCTCATTAACATATATATAAACCTGTATAACTTTAATTCTATAATGAATAGGTCCTAATAGGTATCAGCTACGAAAACACTGGGTTCATAAATTTTAATTAATATGTCCGAATTATGCAGTAATATAGAGTACATATATGGATTTACAATAATGTTTGCTTTATATGTGCTATTTTTTTCGTTGATAATCGTATATTAAAGTTACACTTTAAGGCCTATCTGCTGTCGCCAATTAATATACAAATAAAATACGACTACTAGGCCTACCTTCCGTTCTCATACGTAATTCTCTAGTAATCAATTTCTGAGTGTGTTTCGTGGAAAAACGTCTGTAAATCAGTGAAAGTAAACTGTATCGAGCTGGTTCTCATTGGAATTTAGTATTTATTAGTTTTCAAATAATAAATTTAGTGAGTTTATGCTAATGAATTATTACCGGTAGTATTTAGACGCCAATCTCAGTTAATTTGCGAAAATATTTTACTGTTCTTATTTTCAAATGATATTCTTTAAGTTTATTAACTCACACGCTGAGTATCTTTTAATTCGCAACCCGTTTCTTCAGTATCTCTGTCACACGGTAAGTCAATACAAATTTAATAATACATAACCATTTTCAATGCGTGGCCATGCCATAATTTAACACGTAATATCGACATATTTATCACCTTTCCATAGAAAATAGGCTCGAGTGATTAATAGGTCGTAAATAATCACATATACTTACCAGCTTTTTCATATTAGATGCAGTAACGCCTTCCCCTACTTTCGAAGCCGCTATGCGTCGCAAGGAGTTGATGGTATTCAGTATCTGTTGGTTTTGACGAGGTTGAAACCACTGTTCGGACCGCTCTTCTTGAGCCAACGCGTTTTCTGACAGGTCCTCCTGGCCCAGTGTATCTTGCAAAACTGAAAATATTGAGAAGAATTATTATCAATGTCTAGAAATTTGTATAATGGTTTCCATAATTAAATAAAGTCCCAATAAATCAAAGTAAATAAATAACATACTAAAGATACTGCCTGGTTTTTCGGGTAAGTTTTTATTCTTATGCCTTCAGCATTGTAATTATGAACGATTTAGGCCAAATAATATATTAATTGATAGTTTCATGCCTCTCCCCCATCAAATTTTGGAGCCGCATGAGCAAATTTACTTTTTGCTATTTTCCATGGAATTAAATATAATCACGATCTGAAAGAGTGTTGTTAAAGTGTAAGAGATGGAAATATAAATCGAAGTATACAATACTGATTTTGCTTAAATTCTTTAAATTAATAACAATTTTTGATATGTACCAGCTTGTATCACAAATATATAAGATAGTAAATGGCAAATAGTAAATACCCTCACCAAAAAATAATTTCAAATCCCGGACGTTAAACTAATTATTAAATTTATTTGGCCTTATAAATAAACCTTTAAGTTAGTTTTATTCTGATTTGTCGGAAGTTCAGAGACTTGGAATAAAAATAGTAAGTACCACACACATTCCATAAAATACACAGTTATTTACTATAACATCAGATAGCAGCAAATGTTTATTAGCGCCCTCTATACACTAAATACTTCGTAACTTATTACAACTTACCTTACTTCAGGTGTTCTCAACTGGCGGCCTGCGGGTCATCTCTGGCCCGCGAGGGCGTGTTATGCGGCTCTCAAGAACAAGCCGGGAATAATATTTTCCGTTAGGCTTGGGCCTAGATTTCTAACCTTAATAATTTTGCGTTCTACTACAGCTATTCCAAAAAGTTCTAATTAACCCTTCCCCAGCTCAAACATGCGGCGCTCGGATGGCGCTACGCGCCATAGTACATTCTCTTCCACTGGCCCTTCAAATTTATTCAATGGACAATTTTGGCCCTTATTTTGGCCCATACCCACCCCTGGCTCTGGCCATCGGCCCTCAGATAACACTACACCCATAAATACTTAGCACCACCCCCCCCCCAGTCGGACATCTTAGCTCCCCCAGCACCCATAAATTGTATCCTAGAGCCGCCACTGATTGCGACATAGTTGAGAACCCCTGAATTTGTTAGACTTTGTATAAGTTATATTCATCGTTTATAAACACATGTCATTAAGTGACAAACACACCAAAGTTGATGTATGGAAGAGTTTAGAGAAGGGAAGTCTCCTGCAGAGGAGTCACACATCCTGAACGTGAAGTAGGCCTGAAGTAATCATTCTAGAACTTCATTTGAATCGATTTTCTAAATTTAGGCTACGTAACTTATCGATATTCTTATAGTTTTTATAACCAATGATTCAAACTTAAAGCATTATAAGTTCTGTAAACATGTTTTTGTTAGTGGTTAGTATTTTGGATTCTTGCAATGCTGCATATCATAAGGTTAAAAGTTCAGTGTATTCCTTATGTGATGTTTCCTAATAGGGCCTACCTTTTCTACCATATGAAGCTAAACGTGATTTAAGACTATCAAAATATTTTCAGAATTATTTTATATTGCAGTGATCCCGTTATATGTATGATATATGGCATCCAAACAAGAAATCCATGTTGATCTTGACCCGATAATCCCTTGACGTTTACGGTAAGCTTAATATAGATATGTAAGCCTAAACCTTAAATCTTACTATATTTTTACATATTTCTGATAATTGCGAAGATAAATCTAACCTGACGAAGCCATGGCTATGACCTAGTCTCACTTGACCTTTCCGGTGTCTCTATTAATCTATAATTCTGTTATGATGACCGGACATGTGATGAGAATATAATATATAATAATATGATGATAATAATGTGATGAGAATGATATATAATAATAATGTGATGAGAATATGAAACGCAAAAATGTCAAAATGCATAGCATAATTAGCGTGATATGTATCATATAATCACAACATTTCATGTTACGGTATTTCATTAGATTTATTCCATCTATCGTATAATATATTGTTATATTTCATATTTTTATAGTTTATGTACTATTTGTGTGGTTTTTTTTAATGATATTTTAGCATTTATTATCCGGTGACATCAAGTATTTGACAATTCCTGCAATAACCTAAATGTGGCTATTTAAGGATTTACTATATCCATGGTGATAATTGATATTTAATCACATTTGCTGTATGCTGTACCTTATTATCTGCTCAGTAGACATACGGTAATAATTATATCTATTTATTGACGAGGTTCGTTTATTGAAAATCGAGCCTCGTAATTTTGCCATAACACGGTTGTTTTTCTACCCGCTAGTCTGAAAATCAATTGATTTTCACAAATAAGACATTCAACTTTCAGATTGTGCCTGGTCGACTTATATTGTTTAAAGATTAAATCAATTAACAAGTGACTTTTCCTGTTTTTCAGGAACGAGTATACCAAGCAAGAAATCCAAACCACTAGAGATTGTAGAAATCATTGGCCGTATTCGACTAGTCATTCTTCGTTAAACCACGTCCACCTGCGCACGCAGTGGTAAAATCCTACTTAACGAAGACGACCAGTCGAATAGAAAACTGGTAAAGTACTCGACAAAAGAAAATGGCTGCATAGTTACCGCGATACACGCTGCTTAATCAAGGCTGCTTCAGATTGTGGCACTATGGGTTTTTCGTAAAAAAAATGTCTTCATCCAGTTTTTGAATTCTCTTAGCGTACAATCATTTTTTTACTTCAATGTGTGGGTAAATAGCCTGTTATAATTTTTTATTTTCTGAAATTTAATCTAAATTATATTAACGCAAATGTGGTTACTAAATTGATCAATCGGCCATATTATTTTTGGTCACGTGCATAACTCAACGCTGATTAACGCATTCTGGTTACGTTAATTTTCGTTGTCAACGAAGTCTATTTTACGAACCAGTCGAATGAAAATAATACTCAACGAAAATCCGTACTCAACGAAATGAACCAGTCGAATAAGCCCATTGCTTCAGATAAAATAAAAAAAACACATTAGAAATGTGAAAGTCATTGTTGTCTAGTCCCACGTGTTAGATTCAGGGCTATCCAAATTACAACACATTCGTATACAGATGTACTAGATTTCACTCTATGTAAATAGAGGCAAAATAGACCTTAAGATAGAGTTATCTGACTACCACGCCGTCTCCTTGTGTAACACGTAAATACGCCATCGTCCTCGATATGCACCATGAAGCATCGAGACCATTGTCTGTGTTCCAAAAGTTATTGCTACTCTTGTGTTTCAGCTAAATTCAGCAGTAATGTACCGTCTGCCGGAACAGACGTTTGGTCATTGTTTCGGGTTATCAACTCGCGTATAATAATAAAAAAAATACAAAAAACAAATTGGGGTTTTTTGTGTACAGCAAGCACCACCACTGCGACAAATAGCCTACTCCAATGGGGTAATGCTGATATATAAATTATAAATGGTAAACATGGCAAAACCTATGGTATATTCTAACTGAAATCTCCTGCTTGAAATGAAACGCCTTAACGAATCATGCATTCGAATCAGACTACAGAGTAACAACTTTCTTCACTTTCATTAAGTACTGAACAGTACTAGTATTCGGAACAATGCACCCTCACCTTAGGCGATTTAAACAAGACAGAATATCAGAAGCGATACTTCATCAATGTTTACGGTAATAATATATATTATTACAAATTTCTCACTGTTTCGTTTTATTGCATTCTATAGTTGTAAAACTCACTGTGTCGCACGACTGCCGTACGACCGTCGCACGACGAATCCAACTCCGCTCCCTGTGAGCGATAGACGACTAAACACCGTCTGCTTAGCGGTGCCAGTCTGATCGGATCGTCATTAAAAACGATTCATTGCGCGCGCGTCGTGGCGTTGCGTTCTTCATAGAATCGGTTCGGCCGACGATCATCGTGCGTAGGAAGACCCCGGCTTTATCTCTTCCTTATCTTTCATGACAATATTCAAAAGATACATATGTGATACATATTAGCCTTAAATCAACCCATAACACTTTTGATTAACCTCGGAAATTGGAAAGAAAAAAATTAAAGGAATGTTGCTTTATCAACAATTATATTTACAAATAAAACATGGAAGTCAACAGGTGGTTTGTTATCTTCCTTTTTACGACCATCTTATACACTGAGAAGAGTACCTTTTTTATGGATTTTACGTATTACTTTTATCATCACACTACACATAATAGCACTACGCCTACTGTATTCTGCGACTAAATAAAATGAAATATAATAATTCAAATTAAAAGTAGAAAATTAATAGACCTATTCGATTTACAATTCAATTTCACCAAAAAAAAATCTAAATTTTAACGCCTTTTCTTGTTTTGACTTACGGAGGGAACCTAGACTCTCTGTCATCTGTTCACTCTTATTTATGGTTTTTCATTATCCTCTCTTTCTATATTTACTTCCTGCTGTCTTGTTTTTTAACCAGTGGGGAAAAGAATCAATTAAATAACAACAATAATTAAACATTTTAAGCATAATAAATTTAAAATTTAGTTACTTAAAGATCGATGACTTACCTACACACAATGTTATCAAAAACACGGCAACGTCCATTCTACACATGTTAGGGTTTTTCTTGTTTGGTTTTATATCAAAATATGTATTACTATGTCCTGGCGATTATTCTGTTCATGTAAGAAGCGAATTAATGTTCAATATCTCACCAAGAAAACACAACCTCCTTGTTTATAGGTGAATTCTAATTCTTGCGAGCATGGTCAATGAACAGCCAATCAAAACTCTGTATTTACCAGTCGTTATCAATGGGTCTAGATAAACCTGCTTTATTGGCTCGTAGTGTTTCACTTGTAAGATTAATTGGTGTATACGTAGGGGACCTGAAACGGAACGATCATCACTTATGTTACAGAATGAAATTCACAGGGTTTTAACATTACTTCCCTGCGCGGACCAACACTGGCGTAAACCCACTTACCTTGTCAACACAATGCTGTGGCTGTTGAATTTTGTGACAACATGTTGCGGAGAGAGCATGATGAATCTTTCAGGACCAACAGATGCCCGACTTCCTAGTACCTTAGATTCTTTCTTGCCTAGATTTAGCTGTTGTTGCCAGAGTTTATGTTTTCATAGCTGAGAATATCAGATTTTTCTACGTTTCTATTAGTTTATGTTTACATATAGAGGACTAAAGTGTGTCCAACGTATAGTAAAGCCCTATGAGAAGAGTTTGTGGTAATTAAATCTAATACTTGTATATTTACTTTTGCACAGTTTGTTTCTATATAGGTTTAGTGGTTTTAGTGGATTAGCAAAGGAAATCATTCTTCAACAACGAGCAGTTGATAAGACATTGCCTAAAGTGCGCCTACGCAACATCCACCACACGACCAATCATAGTTGAATTCAAACCGTCCCTCGTATTTCTTGTTGCGTTATGCAATAATACCAATACTAATGATAATATTGCTAATGAAGATGATGAAGATAATAATGATAATGATAATAATAATATTATTATTATATAACTTTATTTAAAAGCTACTCATGAATCAGCCGCATACACTATGCGATACGTACACAATAATAATAATAATATTATTATTATTATTATTATATAACTTTATTTAAATGCTACTCATGAATCAGCCGCATACACTATGCGATACGTACACAATAAAGCCATGATAAAATACACAGACTTGCCACAAGACGTGTGTGTATACCTTTAAATAAAAAATCAAATAACTTTAAAAGGTAATCAAATACAAAATGCAAGGATACTTCAATCGATCTTTATCAAAACATTAACAAACCATAAAAATAGAAGCATTGCAGTTATCGCTGTATGTTAAAAATTGATTTTTTTTAAAGATATAATGAAGTTGATTAGAAATTTAAATCTATATTAAAATTATGATTAAAACTAAGCTGCGTTGCAGATTCATATTGCACTAAATTAAAATTACAATCGCCATGCTCTTTCGAGATACGTTTAGCTCACTGATGCACAATCTGACTTAGTACAGTAATTTACAATTATTATTACGTATGTACATATCAATGTTTCCCAATGCCGTTAAACGTTTATCTTAAATTATTCTAGAAAAGGGGAAAAAGCAAGAGAGGGCGTCCAATGTCAATGTTGAAACTTTTAACAAGATGACGTCAGTTATGGATTATGTGACGTAGAGCTGTAGCCTACTGCTGCGGTCAAGGCCACCCATACGCTCGCAGTAGATAATTGTAATACTGCGTTCCAGCGCCCGTAATTACCGTGATTACGATTGACAGGTTGTAAATTGTGTCCCCGTGCCTTTTCAAATTGTAAGGAATTCGTGTCGACTGAGCACTTTGCATCTTTTTTGCAAAATGTCAACTCGCGCTCACGGTAATCGGGCGCAATAAAACCAACATGAACCTACAATATCGGCATTAGTAAAAGTTTGATTTGCTATTTTTCTTATTGTCCTTCATTTCCATAACACCACTTGACGATCATTTGGTTGGTTGGCCATAAATTAAGAAGAAAATATTTTAATACTTAAAAAAATATATGTGTGTTGATACAAAGAATATGAGAATAGTAGACGAGTCTTAAAACCATGTTTAGGCTTGTTAGATGTCAATTCCTAATTCGGTCTACTGATTGTGCAATACCCGGACAATTGCCAAATTCTTTAAACCCGATCGACCGAAATGTCAAATGCAGAGTCGACTTTCTTGTTGGAGGATAGGTTTGTGGCAAGCAAAAGAATCACTAAAGAGGAGCGAAAAATACATGTTATGCTATTTAAAATTCTAAGGCCTAGTTTTCAAACTTTTAATCATAATATGAATGTTTAATATAATAATAGTTTTTACACTATTAACCTACGTCTGATTATGGTTTTCACCCCATACATTTTGGTTGGAAAAGTACAGAGCTAAAATCGATTGTTAAGTTATCATATATTATATGATAACTATATATATATATAATATAAAACAGTGCCGCCCGACCGACCCTGATCTCCAAAATGTCAATGTGCATGACAATTATTTTTGGCCTAATAAAGAACAATACATGTCACGGAATTGGCAATGCGATAATGTCAACTTCATAAGACAAGCGCGTACATTAACAACGGGCGTATGTAAAACTGAGGGTCCTATATTTTACCTGGCACTATAAAACTAATGGACATTGTCGTAAGACATTTGATATAGGGTTCTATATATAGCCCTGCCTGCCAGTAAAAAAACTTATATACATTAGTTATAAATTCAAATGTGACGTCAGTTAAGTAATCGATCGTTATTACATTTCAAACTCGCTGTGCGTATTTCATTTTGATTGTTTTACGTTAGTTTAGACGTCCTTTTTTCTACCTCGTCTTAACATATTAAGGGATAGATTTCTATGTATCTGGGAGTCTTACGTATAGTTCATTCATTTTCATGCGATGTAATTGTACGTTTTTTCAGCACACGCACCCGTTCTCAAAAGCTGAATGTACCGGTAGATTCGACAAGAGGGATAGTGAATGGTCGAAATGTTAGCAATTTTATGGAAATTATTCATGCATGGAATGTGGGTTCAGTTCATAGCATAATAAAATGATCAGGAAAAGAAAATACAATGTGGGCCTAGCCACATTTGAATTAGGATCGCGCAAATGCAAGACAAGGAATAGTATGAAAAAAATTATAATTTAAAAAAATGTATTAAAAAACTGAACTGAGTTTCTGAATGACGTTTGTAGATGTTTAGACACGTTCTTGGAAAATAAATTAAATACAGAGTCTTTCCTTTTGCGGTTGGTGGTTCTCACAGACGTCGTCGTTGTGCTCGTCGATATAATTCTGATTAGATCTGGCCTGTAATCTGGAAAGTAATAGTAATGATCATTTCTGTAAAATTGATCCTGTCATAAAAGATAAAAAAAATAATTCTATCTAAGAAAGTGATGGTCCTGTACAAATTGATTGTATTTGAAAAAATGTGGTGGTTGATCCTTTCTGAATGTGTGAGGCTTCTTGTTCTTCTAACAGCAAATAAATCGCCAATTACATGATAGAAAGATGCTTACATAAGACAAACATACACTAAGTACTGATTTTCTCAAGTTTTTTTTTATTTTAAAAATAATCCTATATATGTAAAGAATCTGTAACAAAATTATGTGATGTCCCTATCTGATTTTCGTTTCTGGAAAGCATGTGCAATGGTTGCATCTGTAACATTTTCTTGACAATAAGTGTCTGTGACATTAAATTAAAACTTAATTATTACAGTCACTTAGATACGTTGCTGAAACCAAAAAATCAGCAGTAAAACTGCGGATACCAATTTGACAAAAGTGAAACCAATTGAGACTAATTTCCCCCACACACGTTGTAACTGAGTTTCTGAATCCGTTTACGAATTTTATACTTGTTAGCTTTTTTCCCCTTTTTTTTTCAAGCTTAGTAATAAAACAAATTCACGGCGAAGGCCTAACATGCGGGCAAGACAGAAGAAAGAAGAAAACCAATGCCGGGACCAACGCATAGAAGGTTCCTCACCACGTAAGAATTTTCAAAATGTAAACAAAATTCAATATAATTGCACAGCTTTGAATTACTAACGCAAAATGATTTTAATGCAATTGTTTTGTTATATTAATCATCAGAAAAAGCTAGTTTCAGTTATAGCCAAAGCGTTATAGTTGGCACAACTCAAAAGCTTCACTTTAATAACTTGGAATTATCTAAATACTGTATTCTGTTTGTGATACAACCTTCATATCAGCCTGAAAAACTCACCTGTTTGTTGACACCTTTAATGATACATTTTTAGGCCTATATAAGATATTAGCATTCATCAATGAACAATTGTAATATTTCAAGCCAAATAAGAAAATAATTTACATAGATTTAACTAATTAAAAACTTTTGTAAACACCAAAAGGTGAATGCTTCGAATGAGAGCAGCTTTTAGCTCGATCGACTAAAACCTAGTTTCCTTAAAATCGCTACAATACTCCAAGCTTAAAATGGTGGAAAAGTCACTGTGTGTGCGTTGAACTGCTTAGATATAACCGTGAGTCCCGTTCAATTACAATCGCTACTCTCCTTGCACCTGATGATGAAACACTTACCCGTTGGTCTTCTGTGTACGCGAACGGTAAAGATTGGTTTCCATACAATCGCTACACTGTCGCTACAGTGTTTTCAGTGCAATCGATTACCGCTTGCCAGTCCTCGACGCAACCGGGAAGGCTCTCCATTCGTCCGACCAGTCAGCATCACCGAAAGATGTCGGCGATGCTTTGGTCCATCAGAAGAGCTCCACTGCAACAATTAATCCCTTTGTCTCACTTAATGATGGCAAAATAAATGTTACTGAAATGAATGAATGAATGAATGAATGAATGAATGCAGTGGCGTAGCCAGAATATTTCTGTAGGGAGGGGGAAGTGGGGGTCCGTAATATCTGTCTCTTATACACATCTAGATGTGTATAAGAGACAGGCTGGGGGCCAGCAAAAACCCAAAATCTGGGGGCCCTGGCCCTTTCTGCCCCCTTGGCTATGCCACTAAATGAATGAATAAACGAACGAGCTAACTAACGAACGAACGAACGAATGGATGAATGAATACATGAATAAATGAATGAATAAACGAACTATGGTAACAGTAAACGAACTAACGAATGAATGAATAAAAATTGA